CCTGTTCGTTCGTGACCGTAGAACAAACCTTTCATTCTTGGTCGATACCGGCTCTGACGTGTCCTTACTTCCAGCAAATAATTCTCAAAAACGGAATTCGTCCCAACAAACACTTTTCGCTGCTAATTCTTCTACTATTCATGTTTATGGTCAAAAAACACTTTCTTTGGATTTCAAATTAAGACGACAGTTTACATGGACTTTTCTTATAGCAAATGTTAGTACACCCATTCTTGGAGCAGATTTTCTCCATTTCTTTGAATTGGTGCCTGATCTCAGAAACAAATGTCTCAAAGATTTAAAAACGCATTTTAAAAAACCGTCGGTTGCGTGAAAAATGCAAGCATTTATTCAGTAAAAACTGTATTTAGTGATACACCATATCACAAAATTTTAAAAGAATTTCCTTCAGTTACTAGATTACCAGATCCTAACCAACCTGTTAAACATAACACACCGTTCATTATATCATAACTAAAGGTCCACCTGTGGTTGCAAAACCTCGTCGGTTAGCTCCAGATCGCTTAAAAATAGCAAAACAAGAATTTCAAACTATGATGATGCAATTGGGGCATTTGAGACCTTCGAGCAGCAATTATGCATCCCCACTTCACATGGTTCCAAAAAAGGGAAGTCTGGAATGGAGACCTGTAGGAGATTATCGAGCATTGAACGCTCAAACAATAAAAGACAAATACCCTATTCCATGCTTAGCCGATTTTACTGCTGCATTGCACGGTACTAAAATTTTTAGTCATGTCGACCTGATTAAGGCATACCATCAAATACCAATTAACCCAGCCGACATCCACAAAACCGCCATATGCACACCATTCGGTTTATTCGAAAGTACCCGTATGCAATTCGGCTTATGCAATGCATCCGCGACTTTTCAACGTTTTATAGATGAAGTCACGCGGGATTTAGAAGGTGTTTACGCTTTCGTCGATGACTTGCTCATAGCCTCTAAAGATTCTGAGGAACATTGCAGGCATTTGAAAGCTTTATTTTCCAAACTTCAGGAATATGGACTTTGCATAAATGTTTCAAAATGCACCTTTGGTCAAACGTCTATTGATTTCTTAGGTTTTCACCTTAGTGAAAACGGAATTGAACCTCTTCCTGACAAAGTCAAATGTATTTTAGATTTTCCTCAACCTACCACTCTCACTCAGCTTCGCCGATTTTTAGGCATGTTTAACTTTTATAGATGTTTCATACCTAAAGCAGCACATATTCTTTCTCCTTTAATAAAATTGTTAGAAGGCTATATTAATAAAAAGAAATCTCGTTCTCGTGTTCAGGATTCATCCCCACAATTAAATTGGAACGAGAATGCTGAACAAGCCTTTATTGCTGCCAAAAATGCCATTGCTCAGGCTACCCTTTTGAGACACCCTATTCCCGGAGCCCAGCTAAGCATCTGGGTAGATGCCTCAGACGTCGCAATAGGCGGCACACTTATGCAGTTGTCTCAACAAACATGGGAACCTATAGCATTTTTCTCTATGAAACTCAATAAAAGTCAACAGAAATGGTCCGCGTACGATAGGGAATTATTTTCTATTTATTCTGCAATTAAGAAATTCCGACACATGTTAGAGGGCAGAAATTTTATAATTTATACGGATCAAAAACCGTTAATATACGCTTTTAAACAGAACCCTCATAAATGTTCACCTCGACAATTGCGCCATTTAGATTTTATTTCTCAGTACTCTACTGATATTAGGCATGTGCAAGGTTCAAAAAACGTCGTTGCTGACGCTCTTTCAAGAATCGAAATTGATTCCATAACAAAATCTCCATTTTTGGATTTTAAAAAATTTTCGGAAGCTCAACGGCATGATCCGGAGGTACAAGACCTTCTCAAAAACAACACATCATCTTTGAAACTGGAATTTAAACCGTGCCAATATTCTGATGGTAATATTCTTTGTGACATATCAACAGGACATTCCTCGTCCATTTGTTCCGAATTCCTTTCGCAGACTCATCTTTAATCATCTGCATAATCTGTCACATCCAGGAATTGCAGCTACTACGAAGCTTATTTGTTCTCGTTATGTATGGCCCGATATGAAACGTCATATCAAAAATTGGGTGAAATCCTGTGAATCTTGCCAAAAATCGAAAATTACTAGGCATACTAAAGCACCACTGGGCACATTCTCTCTTCCTGATGCACGTTTTTCAGAAATCCATATGGATATCGTCGGACCGTTACCTCCATCAGAAGGCAACGTGTACCTTTTGACTCTAATAGATAGATTCTCCAGATGGCCTGAAGCCATTCCCATCCCGGATATGAAAACGGAAACCATTTGCAGAGCCATCTTCAACTGTTGGATATCTCGTTTTGGCTGCCCATCGATCATAACAACAGACCAAGGTTCTCAAATGAGATCCGCACTTTTTGCAGAATTCACGCGCATTTTGGGTACGAACAGAATCACAACAACAGCCTATCATCCAATGTCCAACGGCATTGTTGAACGATTTCATCGACATTTAAAATCTTCTCTCAAGGCTCACGAGACCAATAACTGGACTGAAACACTACCAGTTGTTATGCTTGGTATTCGGACAGCCGTAAAGGAAGATCTACAGTCATCTTGTGCTGAACTGGTGTACGGCACAACTCTCAAGCTGCCTAGTGATATGATAACGTCATCTAAGATATCTCCGTATGACACACAATTTATCACGAATCTTCGGCATAGAATGCAACAATTGAATCCAATAGCAACATCTGCACATTGCCAAGAAAAATGTTACGTAAGTGCTACCTTAAAGTCGTGTACGCATGTATACTTACGTGTCGATCGAGTAAAGCCACCTCTGTGCCAACCATATACAGGTCCGCATAAAGTTCCTTTCTAGAACGGACAAAACTTTCACAATTGATGTTAACGGTCTGAAATCTACTGTGTCTATAGACCGTGTGAAACCAGCCTATTTGCTTTCGGACTCTAATTTGCCTGAACTGAAAACAAATAAAGACTTAAAGACAGTTCAGCAGAATAAATCTGCAAACGAACTCTCTAAGACACAAACTGTCACCAGATCGGGAAGACATGTTCACTTCCCTAAGAAACTTGCTTCTTACATAACAATTTAAAACATTTTTTTTAAATTCATATCTTAACATATTTCTTGTTATTTCATGTTTATTATATGTGTCAATACCTTGTTATATATTGAATTTTGATCTTTTCTAATTATTCTAATTTTGTAATCATGTAAAAAATACCCGACAGTACGGATACTCTGAGATAATTTCATAACCTATGTCGTTCCTTTGAATAGCCATTAAAGGAACTGGGGGGAAACTCTGTGGTGATGGCGATAAGGAGCGCGCCTTGCGCCCTCCGATAAGTGTGGCAACCCTAGAGGAGAAATTTCTTACGAGTAGCGAGCAGAGCGAAACAGGCAGGCTGTCGGGCAGTGTGCGCGAAATTCCGAAATAAAGCTTAATTTTTATTGCGCACTATGTCTTGTTAATATTTATATTAATGCAGTAAGAACATAATCTGTGATATGGAATTTGAGGATTGGTGGTAAAAACATATAGGAAATCACCATAATATAATATTACATTCTGCTTAAGTACAATTCTGCAAGCAAAACTGCTTATAAAGATATGCAGTGAAATGAAGAACATAACTGCTTTGAAATAGCTATCTTGCAATGTTCATTAATTCAGGATATATTACTAAATGGCTATTAATCACTATGCGGCTTACACAAATAATATTATCTTAAACTGATCCTTGATTGCACAGAAACTTTTTTTTTTTTTTTTTATTAAAACCTTATAATCATTTTGCTCAAATCTTTCAAAACTCTATATATAAAAATCTACTTCAGTTTTTATGATGAAAAACTGTAACAAATTTTTGGTGATGTATATGTTTTGTAAATAGAATGTAATAAAGTTTGTTCTGATAGCTTCACATTATTGGATTTGTGAAGATCTACCCAGCAGTCAGACTGAACATAAGTACAAAGTAAATGCCAATTATTAATTTGATATTTTGTATTTTTATGTAATAACATAACAAGAATATTTCATCTAAAATCTTTAAATAACTACATATATCAACTCTTCAAATGTGTCCAGAAAAGTAAGGCAGAGTTTTGATTGTAATTCTAAACAGCCATGTTTTGCAATTTTAAAAATAACTATTCCTTTACTCTCCTTTTGGGGGAAATTTAAAATTTTAAGGCAAAATTCTTGACTACTTGAAGGATTAAGTAAAACAGAATTGTTAGTAAGGATTATGCATCTGGTTTATATTATACAGCATAATCAATAATACTAGAATAATACAGTACAAAGTCCATAATACAGACTCGCCGGGATTTCGGCGATTCCGGATTATGGTTTTTTCCGGATTATAGATCCATCAATTTAAATCTGGTAAGATGGCATGCAGAAATTATACAATTAAAAATATGAAACCGTAATTTATGAAATAAAGAGCAATTATGATCTAAAGGGTATATCAAAATTAGCAAAAAAAAAAAAAAAAAAAAAAAAAAAAGCTTATACTTATTTGTTTATTTTAGTAAACATTTCTATCAATGTAAGTTGTTTAAGTTGCTTCATTTTTGGTGCTAATATTTTCTCTTTAATTCTATAAACAGACATAATTTCTTGTTCAGTTACAAAGTTCCATTGTTCAAGTCCTGCAATTGCTGTGTCGAGAATACAGACTAACTTGTCAATCGAAATTTTTTTCATTTTCAATAATGTTCTCTGTTATTTTCTTCACTATCGGAAGCGCGCATGGGTAAATGCTTTACTGGCTTTACGTACATGCGTAGCGGACGCGCACATCAAACGCGCATGCGTAAGTTTGTGGCTTTGAGGTCTGGATTATAGATCATTCCGGATAAAGTACGTCCAAATTAGAGACTTTGTACTGCATAACTAATACCTAGAATAAAAATGGCACATTCAAAAGTTAGTTTTAGAATATAAAAATATATATTACCATTTCATAAGTCTGCATAGCCAACTGAACTTTATCATCACCATAATCTAAGGCTTTCTTGAATAATTTTCTAATTTTGGACATTTGTTCAGCTTTATTCTCTGATGACAACTCATGAATACTTTTAAAATATTCTACTGAAAGTTTGTCAATAGTTTTGAGCTCCTCTAAAAGTATAAATCAATTTACTAAAACATTAAAAATATAGTAAAATATTCCAGTAATTATAATCAAATATAATTCACATTTGCTTACTTAAATACAGAAAAAAAAAAGGTCAAACATAAAAAAACCCAAATCGTTATACAGTCAAAAGTTGTTAATCCGGACTCGTCGGGACTTCGGCGATTCCGGATTATAGATCATCAGTTTAAATCTGGTAAGATGGCATGCAGAAATTACAAAATTAAAAATATGAAACCGTAATTTATGAAATAAAGAACAATTATGATCTAAAGGGTATCAAAATTTACAAAAAGAAAAGCTTAATATTTATTTGTTTACTTTATTAAACATTTCTTTCAATGTAAGTTGTTTAAGTTGCTTCATTTCATGTGATAATACTTTCTCTTTAATTTTATTATACAGACATCTCTTTAATTTTTATTAAACAGACATAATTTCTTGTTTAGTTACAAAGTTCCGCTGTTCAAGTCCTATAATTGCTGTGTCGAGAACACTGACTAATTTGTCAATCGAAATTTTTTCGTTTTCAATAACCTCTGTCACTTTCTTCACTATCGAAAGCGAATTATAGTGATGAGGAACTTGTTTTAAATCATATCAAAGACGGAGTACATCGAGATGAAATACTACATTTAGTAAGGAATTATAAGCCAAACAAAATAAAAACATCTGTCCTGAAGATAAGGATAGTGCTGACAGATCAACTTCCAATTCATTGCGCACCGCGGCATTCCCCCCGCCGAGCAGCATGAAATTGATAAACAGATTTCGGATTTCAAAACATACTTTCGCTTTAGTCCTTTACATATTAGCAAATATGTATCGGAAATTCTATTTGATATAATCGAAAGTTCAAGCTTACTTTTATAAAATTGCTCTAACAGTCTGCAAAAAATAATAAGCTGGATCCAATTCGAAGATTAAGGAACAACGCAATCTGCAACATTAACTGAATTAGATAATTTTAGCTTAGCTTATACCATCCATTATACATTAAACGCGCATGCGTAAACGTTTTATGCGCACGCGAATATTCGCAGCCGTAAAGGTCTTATGCGCACACGTAAACGCCTATGCGCATGTGTCAACGCGAGGCATGCGCAGAAAGTTTGTAGCTTTGAGGTCCGGATTATGGGTGTCCGAATTAACGACTTTTGACTGTACTAGTCAAAAATAAGAAAACAAGCTAAACAAAAAGCTGAAATATAATGAACAATAAAATAATTGCAATAATTATGCAAGTAAAAACTTATAATAAATCTTTTTAAATCATACCATAAATGATGCCAGAAATATTTTCCCTAATTTCAATAAAGCATTTTATATTAATTATTTCAATAAAGCATTATGTATCTGAATTTATATCAATTAGATATATTATTTAAATTTAATATAAAGATTTACATTAATAACAAATGTGTTATAACTCAGCTTGCTAAAAACTAACAGAATAATTCAACTAAAAAATAAATTACAGAATAAACACGTCTCTGAATGATGACATTTTGAAAACTGACAATCAGCAAAGTATACAGAAGATAAATGCATTATGTTTCAAGCAGTTGCCAATGCTGTCAAGGCACATGGATAGTACAGTATAACAGTGTACATAATGTAATGATCCAATAATTCAGAAAGACTGACAAGGAAATTTCTAATATTAAAATTAAATTTTGACTGTGATTCATTATATTGAAGATTTGATAATTTCAAAATAGCTATACCTTGGGCTCGGGTATCCAAATCACGCATTAAACTGAAGTTCCTCTGTAATTCAGCAGGTAGTGTCTCCAAACCTGGATAAAAAATATAAAATTTGTTTTATTTTTTTTTATTTTAAAACAATTAGTTTAGAAATTAGATGAACATTCAAATCATTTTATTAAACTAATTAAAATTCCAGTGAGCTGCCCTGATCAATACAGTGGTTAGGGTCCTGGTTGCTATATCATTTCTTGGGTTTGGGTTCGAATCCCAGAGAAGGCATGGATGTTCATAAGTGTGTGTGGCATGGAGCTACTCAAAATACACAGTATGTTGAAAGTCTTCTTGAGTGGTTTTGTGGTAGGGAAAGAGGGGTGGAAAACCCTCGGATACTTATCAAAATTGGGATACAGCTGCACAAAGTTGTACAGCCACGTACCTGGTGCTTGAGGCCCAAGCCTTAGGCAGATGCAATTTTGTACTTCTTGTTACAATAAAATTTGTGGACTTGTTCTGATTATGTCAGACAAGTGAGATAAGCCAACACCACCAAAACCATAATTACCAAACTTACTCCATTTCTTACTATTTTATTTTTAGAAAATCAAGATGGATAAATTATACAGTCCATGTTATATGTATAGCAAAAAATCAAACAAAATTAAAAGATTAAACAGTACTTAGGAAAAATACATCAATATTATTATATTTAAAAAAAGTCAGTTATGATAATTACTTTTAATACTATCCCTTTTACTTTCACAATATTATCTCTCCATAACTTGAAAGTTGCTATCATAAATCAGAAATAACTACGTTATATGTTGAAAATACCAAAAGAAACTACTGAGAAGGAAAAATATGTAGGTTAGTATGCTGCACAGGTCAATAATTTTCATCAGCATCTTCATACTAGCTATATCCCCTAGCTCCATCTTGAGTAGCAGACAAATAAAGTAAGCAAAATTAGAAGCAAAAACAAACAACAAAATTCATACAGCAACCAAATCAATAGTTTCACGGCAATCCACAGTTCACTAAAAAGAACATTTTGCATTCACACAGTCTCAAATTGAATACAGGGTGCAGCAGGGAAACTACCTTATTTTAAAAATGGTTGGTTTGGTTTATTTAATTATGGCAAAGCACACTAGAACTATCTGCCTAAGGGGGGAATGCCTTTGTGGAGGACTTTCTAAGGAAAACTGGCTCGAATGAACGTTACACATGGGGAAAACCACGAAGAAGCCCATGCAGCCAGCCCATTCATGGGATTCAAACCTCGAACTGAACTACTAGCGTTCAGCGACTTTACCGCTCGACTGCTGGTGGGCTGTATTTAAAAAAAAAAAAAAATGAATAACACAAATAACAGAAGTGATATCAGTTTAATTTTTTTCTAAGTTACAGAATGACACTTAAGGGTTTCTTTTTTTCTTTTTTTTTTTTTTTTTTCCAGTTTAAAAATAATATCATTAAGGTGGCCTGCATTCTGGTCAATGCATTGAGATAGTTGAGTTTTGAAGTTCCTTTTCACTTTTACCAGCATATCAACGGGTATGTTGTCGATAGCAGCTTGAATATTGTTCTTCAGTTGAACCAGGGTCTATGGACGTTAAGAGATTTCAAATAGCCCCACAAAAAGAAATCACACAGGGCTAAATCAGGCGACCACGCTGGCCACTGACAATTGCCTCGTAAGGAAATAAGGCGTCCAGGGAAATGTTCTCCAAAATATCATGGTCCAATGATGCCTATTCTGAACAATGCACATCAAACAGTCACACGTTCTGTATGGAGAGGCTGCTCATGAAATTCTCGGGGATTCATGCCACTCCATTATCACTTGTTTTGTTTAATGCATGCTGCAACCAAAGAGATGAAAATGAGCCTCATCGCTAAAGAACACGTGGGCATCACGATGCGTATTGTCAAGAATGACTTTGCATGCAATTTTTCATGGAACAAAATTGCATGGATTAAGTTTTTGCACCACTGCCAATTTATGTGGATGAAAATGCAGTACGTTGGAAAGTGCGACTCCACAGAGAATGCGTGCTCCTCTCTCGTCCACTGCATGATCAGTACTAAACCTACATGACATAAAACTTAAGATACCACCCTTTTCAATGAGCACACCCTTGCCGCTAGATGGCGCACGTTTCAAATACAGAAGTTTCTCTGCCGCACCCTGTACTTAGAGCCTCTATTACTCTTAACCTTGGCATTATATCACAAAATTCCACCTAAATGTATAGAAAAATATACCAAAATTAACACAGAAACATCACTACTAAATGCAAAATGGAGTGACATTTGTTACATCTGCTTTGATTTTCCCTTCTTATTGCAAATTATAGAAGTAAGTATTTTTTAATCAGTTCTTTCATTCATACAGAAGATGAGCTAAAATGCTATAGATAATTGAAATGCCAAACTAACTAAAATGCTATCGATAATGATAGTACTTGATAACCTACATCAATATCCAAACTTCTGGCTACCAACATGCCAAATTTCAGATAGCTCTAACAACTAGCATTTGTGTGATTGAATGATATACAGATAGCATACTGATCTAAAAGAAGTGAATGCACGCCTCTATTTACAATGCAAGGTATCTGGCCATTCTGTGGCTTTTAAAAATTACTTAAATCCGATGACATTAATTTTTTACTACATAGAAAATGAAAAATTGTAACATATTTAGTTTTTTTTATCTCCATTGGAATTATGAGACTGAAAAATTTCTTTAGTTTTCATACGAGAAAGAAATTTTATTTAAAAAATCAATTTTGCTATTAAATGAATCTTAATAAGCCGATTCATTAACCTTTTTTTTTTTTTTTTTTAATGTTTCTCTTCAAATTCTATTGATACATTTATTTTTAAAATTTCAGTTTTATATTTTTCAACAATACTTCTGTAAATATTTTACACAGTTACATTTTTGTTTGCAAGAATTTATTTTGTTTCTTGTAGTATTAAATTCCATGCAAATAACATACATAATTTTAAATTGATTTAGTTCAAAATGCTTTTTTTATATCATTTGACGTCATATCTTTTAATAATCTATGTACTCTGGTTATTTGTAAATACAATTCTTTAACAGCATTTATTTTTGATGTTGACTCTATATCCATGTTACTTACTTCAAAAAGCAGAACACAAATGTGAGATAAAAATAACACATTTAATTTACCAGTGGCTAATAGGCAATAACACTGGCACTTAATCTCTCTGTAGAAAGTCATTTGGTGCATATTATTTCTATAATAAGAAAATTTTGTATTTTAATACTAGCTGTGGTTTCATTATAAAGATTTTGCAATATATTTCTGCAATAATAAATTTATTAAAGCTTGAAGTCCATACCTCTTAATTTCAGGGCTGTGGAGTCGGTAGGGAGAATGACCAACTCCGAATCTGACTCCTGGAATTTTAAAGACTCCCTCATATAATATATATATATAGGGTGTTTTCTTTTTTTCTTTTTAACTGACGGTACTCAGAGACCTCTGTAATTTGAACTATCAGCCGCAAAGCCACGAAATTTTGTACAGGGATTATTGATGACATGGGAAAAGGAATCCGCGGAAAAAAAAAAATTACCGTAATTTCGCGCGTATAGTCCGCGGACTAACTGTGTTTAAAATGCGAATTTTTGAAGCTGCGGACTATCCACCAGTGCGGATAATACGCTGGTTGTTCACGGTTAAAATTGTTGAAATTTAAAAAACACGCTGTCGTGAACTGCCGATGATCAAATATAAAAAAAGCGCGAGATTCCAAGTGTCCTTCGCACTGCTTTAGCACAACTGCCGGGAGGGGGATTCTTTGCCTGGAGTACGAAAAAAAAAGCGTGATTCGTTTACTTATAGCGTGGTTTGGCAACACCGAGTGAGTGGGGTCGAAGTCACATTTCATTACCACTTATCACGAGGATAGCACGTTGCACAGTATTTTGTTTTCGTATTTTGTCTTTCATCTTCGCTAACGTTGATGAACATCGCCGAGATTTACTGCTGAGAGGTACTTGAGAAAACTGCAAAAGAGGAAATAGAGAAGCGGGGCGTTATTGGTTTAATCCTAGTATCCGGGCACACGGGATTTGACTACTTTGGCGACTTTATGATGAGCAGTAAAAAACGGGACATATACGATGAGTAGTTAGCGGGTCATTCAAAGAAAATATATAGTTAAACATAGTATATAGTATATATACTATGCGTGTATAGTATATATATAGACGTTTCTTTGGATCATTTTTGGTGTTGGCGATAATTTTCAAAGTCGCGCCAAGGCTGCACCGTATACTAGGATTTTACTCCGTTATTTTGAAGTGGACAAGAAAGCGGTGAGAAATTTGCGCAAAAGGATGTGTTTAAAAAGCATGGGGATATTGCCGTATTAAAAAAACGTAATTTCGGACGTATAGTCCGCGGACTATCCGGTGGTGCGGACTATACGTGCGAAATTACGGTAGTTAAAAAAGTTGTAGACAGGGGGAAATGTGGCACTTTACACTTTAAGATAGCTAAACTTTTGCATAAAACACGGGAAAAAATTGCAAAATCCCAATCACGTTGTCGACACCAGCGCCAGTATTTTGAGTTTCACTCAGCTGTAGAGAGTACAGTGAACAGAATGCAATGCTTAGTCCAAAAAAATGCAGGTCATATTGAAAATGGCTGATGTCTTCCCCGGTAAAGCGATTCTACTGAATAAAAACAAAAGAACAAAGAATAAAAAGGAAGTTGAATAGAATGTTCTCTTTTTTTTTTTTTTTATAATTTGTAACCATTTACAGAAATTATTTTTTAGAATACACATTTGTGGAAAAATTAATTCTTTGCTATTCATTTATCTGTTTACTGTAACTTTTTAAAGTGGTCAGAAATTTTATCCTGCAGTTAAACTTAAAATTTAGGGCAAAAGCGTCATATTCCCCCCTATCGGCAACTTTTGGAACTAATTTATTTTTTCACAGATTATTTTTTCCCATGTCGTCAATAGTCATATCTCTGAGTCTCTGATCAGGTCTCTGAGTACCGTCAATTAAAAAAAAAACACTCTGTATATATGTAAC